TACATAAATCCACATAAATGTTGAGTCTCTCAACTATCCTGCTTATATAAGACGATATGAATGCAATAAACATTCCTACGTCATACAATCAGTAATTACTCCACAAGACCTTGGCTTAGGAAACTTTATAATTGTTTCCCACTTTGTTTTATTTGGTTTAGTTTGGTCTTTTTGAGACAAAGTCCCCCTGTAGCCTTAGTCCCAACTGGTCTGGAACTCACTATGTAGCCACCACGCCTGGCTTTACTTTATATTTTGTATACTGATAAGCTGTCATATGATTTTAAATTTTCTTTTTTAAAAAAAATCCTGTATTATATGGAGCTGAAGAGATGGCTCAGTGGTTAAGATCACTGACTGCTCTTACAGAGGACCCAGGTTCAATTCCCAGCACCTACATGGCAGTTAACAACTATCTGTAACTCCAACCAGTTCTAGGGGATCCAATGCCCTCGTCTGACCTCCATGGGCATTAAATGACATGGGTGCTCTTACATGCATGCAGGCAATACACTCATACGCATAAAATAAAAATAATAAAAAATAAAATATTTTTTAAAATCCTGTATTCTAATGCTGGGTGTGATGGTGCACACCTTTAATCCCAGGACTCAGGAGGCAGAGGCAGGAGGATATGTGTGAGATAGAGGCCAGCCTGGTCTATATAGTAAATTACACGCAGGCTGGGGCTATGGGAGACGCTATCAAAACAAATTCCTATTTCCTAGTAAATCTGATCATCATGAGCAAGAGAACCCTACTAATGACAAACAAACAAAAAAGTTTTAAGCCATAACATTTGGAATGTTAGAACCTAGAAAGTCAAGTTTCGTCATTAGTCATAAGTAGCTTCTGTTACATCATCCTTCATCTTCACTTGAAATGAGATTGCAGTTGTGATGGACTGTACCAACCTGCGCTAATTAAACAGTGTTATACATGCAAAGCAGCTCTGTGAACTACAAGAACAAGGAACATGCGATACACAGGTTTTAAGAAGTGCTCCTTGGGCATCATGTCTGAAACAACTTTTTAAAAATATGTTTTTTATTGATGTTTTTATTTTATGAGTGTATTGCCTGCATGTATGTAAGTGTACCCATGTCATGCAATGCCCTCAGAGGTCAGAAGAAGGCATCTAGAAATGGAGTTACAGACAGTTGTTAGCCACCATATGGGTGCTGGGAATGGAGCCTGGGTCCTCTGCAAGAGCAGCCAATGCTCTTAACCACTAAGCCATCTCTTCAGCCTCAAAACAGCCTTTTAAATTGGCCTAATGGGAAGAAATCAAGATCTAATTCTATCTCTCTGTTTCTCTCTCTCTCCCTCCTATCCCTCTCCCTCTCTCTCTCTCTCTCTCTCTCTCTCTCTCTCTCTCTCTCTGTCACACACACACACACACTCTGAATTTAATAATTCATGGTATGGATTTGTTTTTCCCTTACATACAACAATAAAAATGTTGGACTGATTAAATAACCACCCACAGGGCTTTTTTATTAATGATACCAGCGAGAGACATAGATCTTTGTCTTAGAAATGGAACATAAGTCTCCCGATGGCCAGTCACTGGGTCTTTGTTCATAGTATAAATAATACACGTTGCCATACAGTCGTTTCCAAAACAATCAGTAGTGTTTGCACTGAAGATGTTTGAAAACTGCTTGGAAAACCATCAGCACCAGATGCACTTTGGGGATTATCAAGGGAAATATGTAAAACCTGCTCTTTCACTTGGCTAATCTCTTACTCTCTTCACCCTCACCATCAAGTCTCTAAAGACTTTCTCTAGTTTCTGCACTTGTATAAGTAGTATATTATTATGAAGTGACTTTGCTTAAAATAATGTAGCTCCGTGGTCATAAACCAGCAGTAACCATTCTTCATACATGCCACTGTGTCCTTCATTCACATGGACTGTGAGGCATGTTTTAAATTGCCTATTCAGGCCTTTTGTGCTGAGTAAATTCCAAGTTGTAAGCGTTTCCAATTCTCAGCTAAGAGAATTCATAACTTTATTTTATGAATTGCAGGTGGTTTTCATGAGCCTATGCAAAAGTTTTTGGGACTGTGGGCTTATAGCCCTGGATGATATTACAATACAGTTGGGAAACTGCCAGTCTCCAGGTAAGAGAACCATGAGTCATTTCAGCTGTGTATCTTTGTCCTATGAAGGCCACTTTTGGTTCCTTTAGAACTTCAGACATTTGATCTATGCTATTCTATCCCTTGCTTTTCTCTACAAAAATGCCTCTCTGTAGAGCTTTATAGTAGACTCTGCAAGTTAGAAATGAAGACTCTAGCATTCTGTATGTCTTTGTACATGTAACTTAACCCCCTTGATCTCATTATAAGGGAAGTTAGCAATGCCTAACTGAATGTTGGGGACAATACATATATATCCATAGCTTATGAACTGCCACAAAACAGCTTTAAAAAATACCTTCTATCTTAATTAGTACCATCATTATTGTTGTGATCTTAGAGAATGACCAATTTCAAGTAATAGATAGCATTGTTATTTCACAAATACTTGTTAGATAATATTAAATGTTTAATAAAGTTGGTATTTCCTAAGTCAGTTAAGTGAGAATGAAACAATAGACGGGGCAGTGGTAACGGGAGTGGGCAGCACAGCCTTACACTGTCACCTATAATACTCTGAGTTCCTTCAGAAACCTTCACTCAGGTCTCTGCACCTCAAAAAAGTTCAGAACACATTAGTACGAAACTTAAGGGTTGAAACTTATTAAGAAAAGGTTTTAATGTGACTTGAAGCCTGGTGTCAGGGCACAAATAGAGATGCTTAGGTAAAGAGCAGTATATACCTAAGACATGCTTGTGGGGCTTCCCACAGTGAGAGAGTTTCACTTACGTACTATCTAACAATAATTGTATGTACAGTTTTAGTGACTTCTGGAGTTATAATTATTGAAAGCATTTCTAAGGAATTTTTCTTTTTTGATAAATAAGACTAGAGGATTTTTTTATGTGCACTAGATAGGATTGCAGGCTGATAAGAAACAAAGGATGAAGAATTCCATACTATATTAGTCGCAAGGGAGTTACATGTTTTGTCTGCAAACAAAGTTCATGTTCTTGTTTGTGATATTTTCAGAAAGTGACATGTTTGCATCTGAGAAAGGAGTAAAGTTAAACATACAGGCCTTAGCATAGTGGACTAGACTACTGTTTCGAAATTATTATTCAAAGTATCTCTCAAGTTGTGCCAAACTCTCTCCACTCCTGGCTGACTTGAGACTTCAACCAGACTCTAGAGATGGCTTCCTGCCATCATCATGTCCCTTTATTTCCCCTGTATTTTCATCCTACCTCAAACCAAGCATTGACAATAGTGAAATTGACACCGTGGTAGCTAGTGGTGTGCTAGATGGAACGTGCCGTGCATAAATGCACACCTCAACCTAGATTGCTGGTCTTAATCCAATCACATCACATCCTAGAACCTCCATATTCATTTATTTACAAACAGACCAATTATAGTGTCAGTCTTACACTGGAGAACAATTGAAAGAATTTCTTTGGCCTGGAGACCTAGTTCAAGGGGAGGACACTGACACAAGGTTCTGTGTGAATTTCCTTGCTTTCTGAGCCCTCGTGAGGACAATAGCAACAAGAGTGTGTATGTTCAAGAAGTAGGAGAGGGAGTGAGGCCTCGTTAACTAGTACTGTGTCCAAAATAAAATGAAGTCAAATAACGCAAAAGAGACATAAATGGCAGGCTATTTATTACAGAAATTTATTAAGAATATGGTTTAGGGGTTGGGGATTTAGCTCAGTGGTAGAGCGCTTGCCTAGCAAGCGCAGGCCCTGGATTCAGTTCTCGAAAAAAAAAAAAAAAAGAAAAAAAAGAATATGGATGTTGGGAGGTATAGCAAAGTTTACCCAAAGGAGAAGTCCCCACTAAGTTTGGAGATGGCATTACTCTAGCAATAATAATTACTGTTGTTAAAGACAACATTCTACAGATTTTTTTAAAAGAACATCAGACAAAGGGTTGGGGAATTTAAGGGATGAAGGGTGAGTATATTACAACTACATTGTATACATGTATGGAATTCTCAAAGAGTTAATAAAAATATTACATTAAAACAGACCAGACAACTATTGTCATGGGACTTAGCTCAGTAGTGAAGTGTTTGTCTAGCATGTGCAAGTCACTAGGCTCCATCCTCAGTGCAAAAAAAAAAAAAAAAAAAACAAAACAAATATTTGTGTCTAGAAATGGAAAATCAGACTTTGGCAGTAAAAATAGCAGTTCCTAGTATTTAATTTACTAATAATAATTCCAATGTTCCAAATACTTCACATGCATCATCTCGTTTGGCCCTCTCAATCCCATGAAGTCGTTGCCCTTAATATTCCCATGACACAGATAAGAATTCTGAGGCACAGAGGAGGGAAGCCATTTGTGCTCCACAGCTCTGCCTCCAGCAGTAAGTTTACTTCTCTCCCATCTCCTCCTCCTCCAGAGCAGCTGTAGAGCTGTTACTAGGGCACCCTTCACTTGTCCTGCATTCTTGAAGAAAACCCCTGCACTATGCAATTTTATTATTTTTTGTATTTTCATAAAGGCAGTTTGTCTCTAATTTTCAGAGCTTTTTAGCGCATTCACACAAATAAATCCCAAGCTGGGGAAAAAAATGTCTTACTTAAAGTGTCCCAATGTTTCAGATCTAGATCTCTAATTCTGTCACCATGACAGGACCCATGACTGGGAACAGGCTAGCTGGAGGCAAAGGCTCGTTGGGCCACCAGTGGGGGTCTGCCTCTACATATGCTTGGCATATGACCAGACACCTCTTAGACATGTGGAATGGGCTGCTGGGAACCATGTTGCATTCAGCAATTGCAACACCTGATGTTTCCTTGTAGAGAGACTTCTACCTCCACCTGGAGAATGCACTTTCGATCAAGATGAATGTGCATTTACACAGGACAAAAGAAACCGGAGAAGCTGGCACAGAGGAAGGGGAGACACTCCCACTTCCTACACAGGACCGAAGGGAGATCACACTACTGGGGTAGGTGAGTTATGCCACATGATGCTGTTTCCTAAGGAGCTAAAGTAGCATCCTACAATTTGAAATGTGCAAATTCATGCCTTGTGTCTAGAATGAACTACATGTGATTCTACACACAAAATTTGTAATAGGTATATTTGAAAGTCATCATTTCTGTTTATAATATTGCTTAATGTATATTGTTACAGAGATAATTAAATTAGGAATTGCTTTAAAAATAATAACAGAGGAACAAAAGTGAGGGGAAAGATGTTAATAAAAATTGGAGGTAAGGCTGATGCTGAGTATATAAATGTGCTGGCAGATGGGGATCATGCAGACAAGTTCGACTCTTTCTATAGATGAAACAAAGAAATATCACCTGTGAAATTTGATTCACAGTGTTCTTAGGATGAAACCTGGGGGAGCAAGCAGCTGGAGGCTTAGGCAATCAGGTGGCGAATTCATTCTCTCTCTCTCTCTCTCTCTCTCTCTCTCTCTCTCTCTCTCTTCTCTCTCTCTCTCTCTCTCTCTCTCTGTGTGTGTGTGTGTGTGTGTGTGTGTGTGTGTGTGTGTGTCTTAGACAAGGTCTTGTTGAGCACCTGGAACTCAGAGTCTTCTTGCCTCCTCCTGAGAGCTAGGACTGTAGATGCATACCACTATGCCTGGCTAAGGAGTGCATTTTCAATAGGAAGTGTATAAACCACATAGGAAAACTTAAAAGTTGGTCTTTTTCTTGTTACTACAGAATATCAGTGGTAAAATATGTCTGCCATACTTTGGTATACCAGTTGGATCAAAGTATTACATTTGTTTCAAAACAAAATTGTCCTTGAACTAAACTCACAGAGATCCTGAGTACTAATCTCCAGGATCATTTTAGAAAAGAAGGTAGAAGGGGATAGACTACACTCCGCTGTACTTATGACCACCCCTAAGATAAACCCATGACCTAGTACCATGGAGCAACTTATAGCATATGTAACCTGCCTACTGAATTAGCCAAAATTGGTAGAACTCAATCACAAACATCTTTATTTTTTTTTATTTCCATCATTCACTTCATTTATAGTCTGAAGATTTTTCTCCCCACTCTCTGGCAAATCCCTTAGCTCCCAGTCCTGTTGAAGTAATATGACATTAATAACACAGGTATGTTAAGGGATCTTATATTCCAAATCAAAACGTCCATTTCTCATTCAGTCAAATTTTCTGAGCTCAGCTTGGGCCTACCTCCTTTTCTGGGGATGATAAAAGAGAAGACTTTCTAGTCTTCCATCTTCTTTATTTCACCTCCTCTTCTGCTTTTCAAGCTATCATCCTCTAGTCAGGATAAGGAGAGGAGGGATTAAAAGAAAAGAACTTTAAAATATTTGGTGCTATTTTAAATTCTCTTGATTATTGACCATCCTTTGTTATGACAGATATTCAAACATCTGACTGGCTGGTCAGAACTTCGGCAGTATACCCTTCTTTTTGTGTCCACTCTGCCTAACCCTCCATAACAATCCCTCTCCATTGGGCACCTGCATATTGAGGTACATACCTCTATACAATCAGCCAGATTTTTCTGAAAATTTTGGCTTTCTTTGAAAAGCACTTGCTTCCAACTACTTTTCCAGAGACTGTCCATGGGTCTCAGAAACTAATGCACTCCCAGCTAAAAGGTGCAGCCGGATCCTGTTACTGACTTTTCTCTTTCTCTTGATGCTCTAGCAGATCCTGGAAGAGTCTTGCTTCAGAGAAGGGTTCTTCATTGGTCCAGAAGTAAACCAAATGTCCACTTTCAGTACTGAGTAGGAATTCTAAAAGAGTTCTGAGACTCTGTGAGGTCTCACCTGGAAAAGTATGAGGAAATTAAAATGGCAAATAGAAGTCATATATGATAAGACCACTTGGATAGCGTATACAGAAAACAGAGCTCAAACTGCCTTAAATGGAAAGGGAATTCTTTACTGAAGTTTGAAACAGGAAAAGGCCAAGATAGTGCTAACTTCAGGTACAGCTCAAAGCAAGGGATAAAAACTATATAATTATTAGACAGTTTGCCCCTCTCTCCTCCTCTCTGTGCTGTGTTTTCTCCAGTCTCAGACAGGATCTCCTATCATGGTAAGAAAGCGACTATAGAAGGTAAAGCCTCATGGACTTTCAATACTGAACCTTGCAGAAAAGAATAACTCTAATGAAAATCTCCAAACTAAGCTTTGAGTTGTTTTGTTTTGTATGTGTTTTGTTCTGTTTTGTTTTTTGAGACAGATTCTAATGATGTAACCCTGGCTGGCCTCCAACTCATATATAGAACAGACTGGTCTTTAATTCACAGATATCTGCCTGCCTCTGCCTCCCGAATTCTAGGACGAAAGGTATATGTGACCACATCCTGCCAAACTGAATCTTATTACCTCTGAGTAGCAATGTTTTGAAAGCAGGGTAAAACTCACTGTTGAATCACCACAATACTTGATATTAAGCCTTATGTATGATTGACATGCAAAAATGTTTATGGAATGAGTGAATGAATGAATTTACTTAAGGCTCCTTTGAAAAATATAAGGATAATTATTATTTAGCAAGACCTCCTGTAACTGGCATGGTAGCACATATCTATAATCCCAGCACTTGAGAGACTTAGGCAGGAATATCACAAATTCAAGGCCAGCCTGAACCACATAGTGAGTTCTAGGCCAAACTGGGCTATATTACAAGATCCTGCTTCAAAACAAACAAACAAAAACTCCCCAGAAAATGGGATTGTTGGGAGATTCCTTTTTTATTACAAGAGTAGTAGAGAAAAGTTCAGGAGAAATAATTTTAACTAGTCTATTATAATCTGAATGTTGCGTGTCTGAACATTTTTTCTAGAAGAAGGTTGACAGTTTATCTTTTATAAGGACATAAAAAGGCTTCAGTTAGAGGTATGATAAGGTACCATCAAAGATATACGCATGTTACAGAAGATGACCACAAGGGAGTATTCTGGATAATGAAAATCATGGAATGCCATAGGTAAGGGAGACAGGCAGAACCAAAGCAGTAAGCTGTGGAGAGCAGGGGCTGCTCCTGAAAGAGAAGTACCAGGCCGGGGTTAGAACAGGCCTGTGGGCTTTACAGTTAGACTAACCCAGCATACTCCACTCACTGAGTATGAGATTTTAAGGCACTTATTTCAAATCGCCAAGTCTCAGTTTTGTCATCTAGAAAAATCAGAATAATTACAGCTCCTTACTTATTAACTTCAGAGATGGATCCAAACTCAAGGTAGCAACACAGCTGGTTTTATATGGCTTTCAAATAGCTGTCTCTTTGCCGTGTCCACGCATGGCCTCCCCTCTGTGCCAACTTATCCCTGTTATCTCTTTTCTTTTTTAATATTTTTATTTATTATTTTTATTTTATGTATATGAGTATATTGATTGCATGTAAGTGCACCAATATTGTGCAGTGACCACAGAGGTCAGAAGAGGGAGTTGAACCCCCTGGAACTGGAGTTACAGATGGTTGCCAGCCACCATGTGAGTGCTGGGAATCGAACCTGGGTCCTCTGCAAGAGCAGTTAGTGCTCTTAACCACTGAGCCATCTCTTCAACCTGTCTCTCTCTTTCTCTCTCTCTCTCCCTCTCTCTCTCTCTCTCTCTCTCTCTCTCTCTCTCTCTCTCTCTCATAACACTAGTTGTATTGAATCAAAGTCTATCCTCAAAATCCCTTTTAAAATTACGTCTTTGAAAGACCCATCTCCAAATACAGACACACTCTGAGGTACTGGGCTTAGAGCTTCAACAGATGTATTTTGGAGAGATGTTAGATGTTATTTAACCTATAGCAGACTCCCTCCAAGGAGTTAGTGTCATGGCTGAACATCAAAGGAACAGAGCAAAGGCTTTCAAGTTAAATGGGTGACAGCCTGAGCCTGCCCTTGTTCCTCGTGGCTTTATGCCACAATCTGAGCTTGTCTGACTTATATATGGTGTCCTACCTCCTCCTCATGTATTAAAAATCTATGAAAATCTAGCAAAAATATGAACAGTAGACATGAAGTCACCCAGCGTTCTACTCCTTTCCTTACAGCATTACTGGGCTATGGGGACATATGTTCACTAACTTGTTATGGCTGTATTTGAAGAAGATGTTGTGGTTGGGCTTGCTCTGTCTCTTTGAAAACGTAAAAGAATGTTTCAGCTGGATAGGGTGAAACAGCAAGAAAATGAATTCAAAAACTTCTTAGTGTGTTCCATATTTATTCTGAATGAATACTTGATGCATTAAATTAAGTTCTCTGGTGCACAGCACAGAAAATGCTGATTTTTAAAAGTAAATTATTCCACTTGCTTCAATATAAAATTCCAAAAGATTCTCAAGACGCCGTCCAGATTTTTACCTAATAAAATCTTTTGCAATCTATCTTTTTATTCCAGTGCATAACAATGCAAGTAAGAAAACACATTTTTCTATATTATGCCCAAGGTACCTAGAGCTATACAGCATTGGATTGGAGGTGTCTTGTTTTAGTTCTTAAAATTACTTTTGCTGCAGTAAATAATAAAGCTAGTGATCATTTACTGGACATTTACTCTTCATAGGCTCTGTGCTGGGAATCTTTATACCCTTACTAGAATCTATAAAGTAAGTGAAGGGCCCTGTTTTTCAGGCAGGGAAATAGAAGTGTGGAGAAGTTAGTACCCGTCCAGAGCTACACATTATCAATTGGCAGAGTAGAGACTGAATTTCAGGTTTGTTTGTGACCATGTGCTGTTCACACTGCCTCACTGGAGTCTCCCAACCTACATGATACTAACATGCCACACATGGCCCATATAGCATGTATGTGAATGTCACAACTTTCTACGTAGCAGTATAAACTCACCCAGAATGCCTTTCTCGCCAAGGGAAGGCAGTGTCTTCTCCTAGTAAGATTATAATCAAACCAATAGCATTTGGGAGTCTTCCCTAGAAATTAATTTAATAGAAAGAATCTACATTTCTACATTTTCTAAGCTATGTCTAGTGTCCATATTCCGATATTGTGAG